AAGTCATACATTTTTCAAAGTTTTTGAGGAATTTTGTTTATTCCAACTTGATTCTAAATTTTGAAGTAACATAAAATTGATATAACTTTTGCTAAAGTTAATTAGTCAATATGAAATACATTGGTAGTAGAATATAAACAAGCTCCTACTGGTTGCATCATATGTTTTGATGACATTATTGATAAAAGAAAAAGAAATCACTGATATAGATTTCCCTCTTCTCCAAATAAAGTATAACTGAAGTAAAGAAATCATGAGATCATTAGAATAGACACTAAATTCTCTAGGTAGTGAAAAGGTAATTATTTGTTTAAACTGAGGCCTTTAACTTTTTATTATTCCAGTCAGTCAAAATATGCAAAGGAAATTATTTTTTTATCCTAGTTAAGTTATAAGACTGAAAAGCAAAAAAATGTAAAACACCACCCTTCTCTAGAATTGAGAATACATTTCTCCAAACATTGTGTAATAATATCACAATCAAGATGAATACTAATAAATTTCTTTAACTAGACATGACTGCTAGAAAATATTGAGAGTTACATAATAAGACTGAAAAGTCATATAAGAATCTAAAGTTTATTATTTATTATTTTGTTTTACATGAGGTAGATACAAAATCAAAATAAAAAAAAGAAGCATTGAGTAAGACACTGGATTCAAGTAAGTAATAGGTACCTCAGATGATCACAAGAAAATAATCAAGATTATGGATAGATAAGTTTCTCAGATGGTTAGAAAGAAGAAAAATATTCTAAAAGGGTTGACTTCTAATAAGAAGAGGTTTTTAGTAAAGATTTTTTGGAGAATATGAAGTGCTTTTATTTTTTTGTTTCTTTTTTGGTTTCATATAATACAATTGTATATTTTTAGATATACTCTTCTCTTTTATTTTTTATTTTTTCTTTTGTAGTTTCTCAAAATCAGTTTCTTGAAGGATAATAAATAACAATAACCTGCTGGCAATGATATATAAATTAGAAGGATATTCATTCAAAATCTACTACAAAGTGAAATATTGTTTTCAAGGTTATACTTAGAGGCTGAAGTTCTTTTGAGAATTGAAAGCCATTGACGAGTGAGTTAGCATGAGTTTTAATTTAACTATAATGCAATTACCTTATATACAGTTTTCATATTGATTAATAAACATACAGTGCTGGCCTGACCACAGGTTTAAAAAAAAAAAAAAAACAGAAAGAATATAAGTGAAATAATTATTTTTTATTTAAACAAAAGAACTGAATAAGTAATATATAATAAAAAGTACAATATTCAAAATGATAAATCACAAAAATATCGAATCATCATTAGTTGAAGTGATTAGAGTAGCATATAGTCAAGGTACCAAAAAATATGACAAATTAGGAGTATCATATGTAAACTATCTTAAAACTTCTTTACAGAGAAAAAGAGATCCAGAAGATTATGTTAGATATATAGCAAAACAACGTGTTCCAAATAAAGAAACCTATAATGAAAGAATGGCAGATTTTAAAGATTGGTATAATGAGGAAATTTATATTAGTTTGGAAAAATTATA